GCACCCTGTTTGTCTGTCTGCCTGTCTATCTGTCTGGTTTCACCACGGACTTAGACTTATCACTTAAGGATACTAATTTGCGATTTACGTGCAGGGCGGTGATTGGCTGCTTTTGTTTCGTCTGGTCGTAGTTCATTTAAAATCATTAATTACTGTGCCCCGATGAGTTTCAGGGAACAACCAACCAAATGAAAATGAGACCTTTCAAATGTTTAAGTTTATAAAATGTTTGGCAGCCACTGATTGGCGATTGAACTATGCAGTTCCAAAACAGATATACATGTATATCGTGTTGGTAATTATTCATAAATAATGTTGATTACATTTGATAAGTTTGATTAAGGTTTTGTTCAATGTTATATTGCAGTTCAGATAATCAATACATGAACAATTCAGAGTTTCTAGATTGTTTTACGGCGAAATTCATTCAATTCTAAAATATCCCCGTTTACGTGACATGACTACGTATACTAACGTACACGTGTATAAGTTCTGACGAGATGCTATGTTCGTCATTTATAATCTGCACAATTACCACTTATATTAAACTTCAAGTATCAATGTTGTCAGCTAAAATGCTGCGTATTACCAATAGTTAAAGACGACTGTTTAAGTTGTAAGAGTCGATGTGGAAAATTATTGACTTTTTTGTTGTTGTTTTAATTCTAATTTCAACTCCAGGTATGTGTTTTCAGTCACGTAAGAACTAAAATAGTGTTTTCTTTTTTTCTAAATGATTTAATTAAAGGAAATTCTCGGATCTATTTCATTTCTACTCTCGCTTTCCCTCCCTGTATGTATCTGTCCGCCTGTGTGTCTTTGTGTGTTTCTTCTCTCTGTCCTGCCGTATGTCTTTCATTGTGTATGTCACTCAGTCCAACCCTTTCTCTGATGTCTGTCTGTCAGGCTGTCTGTCTGTCCGGACATAAGTAAGTTTGTGTATGTTGCTGTCGTTCCGAATGATAGTATGTCTTTATGTATATCTGCCTGTTCGTTCATCCATCGGTGTTTGTTTCTATCCGGACATCGGTATCTCCATCTGTAAGTGTTTATATTTCTGTTGTCTGTCTCTGTATCCGGCTGTCCATTCCCATTTTTTGTGTGTCAATATAAAAATAGTCACAAGTACATCTATATCATACAGCTGTAATACAGATAGGAGACGGAACAATACAAATATCACAAGAACATCCATATCACACAGTAGTAATACACTTAGGTGACTGGACAATACATATAACACAAGTTCATCCGCATCATACAGTTGTAATACAGTTAGGAGACGGGACAATACAAATATCACAAGTACATCCATATTAAACAGTTGTAATACAGTCAGGAGACGGGATAATACAAATATCACAATTACATATATATCATACGTTGTGTTGACGTAGATTTGTGGCCAGAATGACATGTTAATGTGGTAGGAATGTGTTGTTGTTGATGGTGTTCTGACGTAAAAAAAAAAAGGTTTTGTACACTAATTAATTATCGTTTATAACTAGAAATTAAAACTTGGAATACATTGATTCAAAAAACAAATTTATTGTAAAATAAAATTTAAACATAAATATAACCATAGAAAACAACGGGATACATATATGGACGATAGTTACAACATTACATTTGGGAAAGTTCAAATGAAAATAGGACCAAATTCAAAAACACATCTACTGAAATATTATACTTGGATTATAAAAAGCAAGGATGTATGTTTATTGACAAATCCGACAATATCAGTTCAGTACAATATGGGGGAAGCCGAGATAGGCCGAAGCATAAAAATTGCTATATATCATTTCATGTGCAGAAAAATATTAATTACGTTAATTATATGATTACCGTGACGTAATATTGTAATCTTGTGGCACACGATATCATCATTATATGCTTTCACCTTACGGTCAAAATACTGAATAACACTCAAAACAGTTTTTTCTCTTCCAGTTCAATTTTTCAATTACTACATTTCTTCTTTCAATGTTTAGTTGAAATGTCAAAAATACTTCCTTCAACCATGTTCGTTTTGATTAATACGTTTTAAATATACGGGTGGAATCTTGTTAGTCTAGACACCCCGGTTTGTGTGTACAGTAGAACCTCGTTAGTCTGGACACTTTGGTTTGTGTGTACAGTGGAACCTTGTTAGTCTGGACACTTTGGTTTGTGTGTACAGTAGTAGAACCTTGTAAGTCTGGACACTTTGGTTTGTGTGTACAGTAGAACCTTGTAAGTCTGGACACTTTGGTTTGTGTGTACAGTAGAACCTTGTTAGTCTGAACACTTTGGGTTGTGTGTACAGTAGAACCTTGTTAGTCTGGACATCCTGGGTTATGTGTGTAGTGGAACCTTGTTAGTCTGGACATCCTGGGTTGTGTGTACAGTGGAACCTTGTTAGTCTGGACACTTTGGTTTGTGTGTACAGTAGAACCTTGTTAGTCTGAACACTTTGGGTTGTGTGTACAGTAGAACCTTGTTAGTCTGGACATCCTGGGTTGTGTGTACAGTAGAACCTTGTTAGTCTGGACACTTTGGTTTGTGTGTACAGTAGAACCTTGTTAGTCTGGACACTTTGGTTTGTGTGTACAGTGGAACCTTGTTAGTCTGGACACTTTGGTTTGTGTGTACAGTAGAACCTTGTTAGTCTGGACACTTTGGTTTGTGTGTACAGTAGAACCTTGTTAGTCTGGACATCCTGGTTTGTGTGTACAGTAGAACCTTGTTAGTCTGGACACTTTGGTTTGTGTGTACAGTGGAACCTTGTTAGTCTGGACACTTTGGTTTGTGTGTACAGTGGAACCTTGTTAGTCTGGACACCCTGGTTTGTGTATATACTATAGAACCTTGTTAGTCTGGACACTTTGGTTTGTGTGTACAGTGGAACCTTGTTAGTCTGGACACTTTGGTTTGTGTGTACAGTGGAACCTTGTTAGTCTGGACACTTTGGTTTGTGTGTACAGTAGAACCTTGTTAGTCTGGACACTTTGGTTTGTGTGTACAATGGAACCTTGTTAGTCTGGACACTTTGGTTTGTGTGTACAGTAGAACCTTGTTAGTCTGAACACTTTGGGTTGTGTGTACAGTAGAACCTTGTTAGTCTGGACATCCTGGGTTGTGTGTACAGTGGAACCTTGTTAGTCTGGACACTTTGGTTTGTGTGTACAGTAGAACCTTGTTAGTCTGGACACTTTGGTTTGTGTGTACAGTGGAACCTTGTTAGTCTGGACACTTTGGTTTGTGTGTACAGTGGAACCTTGTTAGTCTGGACATCCTGGGTTGTGTGTGTAGTGGAACCTTGTTAGTCTGGACATCCTGAGTTGTGTGTACAGTGGAACCTGGTTAGTCTGGACACTTTGGTTTGTGTGTACAGTAGAACCTTGTTAGTCTGGACACTTTGGTTTGTGTGTACAGTAGAACCTTGTTAGTCTGAACACTTTGGGTTGTGTGTACAATGGAACCTTGTTAGTCTGGACACTTTGGTTTGTGTGTACAGTGGAACCTTGTTAGTCTGGACATCCTGGGTTGTGTGTGTAGTGGAACCTTGTTAGTCTGGACATCCTGGGTTGTGTGTACAGTGGAACCTTGTTAGTCTGGACATCCTGGTTTGTGTGTACAGTAGAACCTTGTTAGTCTAGACACTTTGGTTTGTGTGTACAGTGGAACCTTGTTAGTCTGAACACCTCGGTTTGTGTGTACAGCAGAACCATGTTAGCTGGACATCCCGGTTTGTGTTTGTGTGTACAGCAGAACGATGTTAGCTGGACATCCCGGTTTGTGTGTACAATGGAAAATTGTCAGTCTGGACACTTTGTTTTATGTGTACAATAGAACATTGTTAGTCTGGACATACTGGTTTGTGTGTACAGTGGAACCTTGTTAGTCTGGACACTAAAGTTTGTGTGTACAATAGAACCTTTTTAGTCTGAACAACCCGGTTTGTGTGTACAATAGAACTTTGTTAGTCTGAACATCCCGGTTAGTGTGTACAGTAGAACCTTGTTAGTTTGAACACCCCGGTTTGTGTGTACAATAGAACCTTCTTTGTCTGGGCATCCTAGTTTTTGTGTACAGTGGTACCTTGTTAGTCTGAACACCCTGGTTTGTGTATATACTATAGAACCTTGTTTGTCTGAACATCCTGGTTTGTGTGTACAGCAGAACCATGTTAGCTGAACATCTTCGTTTTTGTGTACAGTAGAACCTCGTTAGTCTGGACACTTTGGTTTGTGTGTACAATAGAACCTTGTTAGTCTGGACACCCCGGTTTGTGTGTACAATAGAACCTTTAACTCTGAACACCTCGGTTTTTGTGTACAGCAGAACCATGTTAGCTGGACATCCTCGTTTGTGTGTACAGTTGAACCTTGTTAATCTGAACACCCCGGTTTGTGTGTACAATAGAACCTTGTTAGTCTGGACATACTGGTTTGTGTGTACAGTGGAACCTTGTTAGTCTGGACACTTCGGTTTGTGTGTACAATGGAACCTTGTTAGTCTGGACACTTCGGTTTGTGTGTACAGTGGAACCTTGTTAGTCTGGACACGTTGGTTTGTGTGTACGGTAGAACCTTGTTAGTCTGGACACGTTGGTTTGTGTGTACAATAGAACCTTGTTAGTCTGGACACTTCGGTTTGCTGTTGGAAATGGAAAGTAGCAGGTCTACAGATTTTGTTACTATTTAGATAGGATTATATTGGCACCTCCGTGTCTAACCTCAAGCATGTTTGAGTATTGCTAATTCTGAAGAGCCGTCTCGTCATTGTTTAATATCATTGGTCAAGTCTGTAAATAACATTACGATATAAATAAGGTTTCAGAACGTGAGGTAACTGCCACGGTGCAAAACAGCATGTCGGAAGTAAGCTGGTATTACGTCATATCCGTCAATCACATCCGTTAACGAGATCCATCCTGTTTCATCATATTTGTCTCTGCTGACCCTGTCAGTGGATATGAACTGTTTATCCATGACTTGTATATATTACAACACCAATAACACATCAAATATAAGACTCGGGTTGAAAATCCATCGAATTGTTGATGTTATTCTCCCGAACAGACCTCTGTCATAACAAACTCTCCCTGTTCATAATGTAGTCTGGCTGTTTCTGACATCGGAACAGGATCCTGATTCCTTCCCGAAACTTCCGGTTCAAACACGTATATATCACAGAATTCATAAAACTGTTACACACTGCGACCCAGGACACAATGAACGTAACATTGTTATCTACAACGGCTAAACTGAAGAGACGAATTATCTCCACTACAAAGTATGGCATCCAGGAAATTTCAAATGTCAAAACAATTGTAAATATCACAATTTTAGATTTCATTGATGAAAGTGAATTCCTTGATTGGGTCTGTCTTTCGATACTGTTCATCTTAAGACGATGTTTACGAGAGAGACAAAACAACCTCAGGTTTAAAACCAGGACCATCGTAAATGATGGCAGAAGATACACAGCTATCAAAACAAATGTATATGCGAGATTTGTCTGCCATTGTGGGCTACAAATATACACTTTGCGCATGTCCCGGAAGTGGCCAACTGCCGGAAATACCATGGGAATGTCAATAAGGAATACAGCGATCCATATGAAAGCGATGCAGACATATGATGTCTTGTTGGTCATCCAGCGTGTATACTTCAACGGCCTGGTCACCGAGATCCAACGATCAATGGTCAGCACAAGCAGATTTGAAATTGACAACGTGGTGGAGTAAAATTGTAGGAAACCCACAAACGTACAAACTGAAATAAACAACGATCTGATGTTTAATTTCAAACCACTTATTAATGAATTTAAAATAAAATATGAAATTAATAATAAGATATATATAAGATATAGGTACATAGATAAAAGGCGAGATTTAATAGCTTTTGTTTTCATGTTAATAACGATAACAAACATATTCAGGTTTCGTCTCCTTAAATCGAGACGGTCATTCGACTGATGGACAAAACTTGACGGAAATTGATCACCCTGCCCTCTGAGTCCTGTAATTTTTAAAGGCTCGTTGTATATTGTGAAAAAATAAAAATACCAAAGTCATGTGATATTTAAACAGATATGACACCAACAAGGTCACTGTCCCTTGGGAGCGTAAACATGACACAAGGAGAAATCCGGGTACAGTTGATAACGGTCAGATTTCGCTGATGTAAACAATTATCTCCAATATTTTAGGAAACTGGCCGTTTTTTTTCCACAGAAATAATAAGATGTCATTACATCTTAATACACAAGGAAGAAAACACGAGCTATTCTTCGGAAAGTAGACACTCCTTTGTATTTATATATAACCGTGGTTTAATGAATAAACCAGCGTAGTATATATAACTGATTTTTATTCTAATCAGAACAATATGGTATAATACCTAACGAGGTTCCGAACCAATTAAAATATTTCAGCTGTATACGTTTCTTTCTGGCAGGAGTGTCTGTCTATGTGTCTGTGTATCTATACAGTTATGTGTAAGTGTCTCTGTAAGATGTGTCTTTCTGTGTGTCTGTGTATCTATATCTGTCTCTGTAAGATGTGTCTTTCTGTGTGTCAGTGTATCTATATCTGTCTCTGTAAGGTGTGTCTTTCTGTGTGTCTGTGTATCTATATCTGTCTCTGTAAGGTGTGTCTTTCTGTGTGTCAGTGTATCTATATCTGTCTCTGTAAGATGTGTCTTTCTGTGTGTCAGTGTATCTATATCTGTCTCTGTAAGGTGTGTCTTTCTGTGTGTCTGTGTATCTATATCTGTCTCTGTAAGATGTGTCTTTCTGTGTATCTGTGTATCTATATAGTTATATGTAAGTGTCTCTGTAAGGTATGTCTTTCTGTGTATCTGTGTATCTATATCTGTCTCTGTAAGATGTGTATTTCTGTGTATCTGTGTATCTATATAGTTATATGTAAGTGTCTCTGTAAGGTGTGTCTTTCTGTGTATCTGTGTATCTATATAGTTATATGTAAGTGTCTCTGTAAGGTGTGTCTTTCTGTGTATCTGTGTATCTATATCTGTCTCTGTAAGGTGTGTATTTCTGTGTATCTGTGTATCTATATAGTTATATGTAAGTGTCTCTGTAAGATGTGTCTTTCTGTGTATCTGTGTATCTATATAGTAATATGTAAGTGTCTCTGTAAGGTGTGTCTTTCTGTGTATCTGTGTATCTATATAGTAATATGTAAGTGTCTCTGTAAGGTGTGTCTTTCTGTGTATCTGTGTATCTATATAGTTATATGTAAGTGTCTCTGTAAGGTGTGTCTTTCTGTGTATCTGTGTATCTATATCTGTCTCTGTAAGATGTGTCTATCTGTGTATCTGTGTATCTATATCTGTCTCTGTAAGGTGTGTCTTTCTGTGTATCTGTGTATCTATATCTGTCTCTGTAAGGTGTGTCTTTCTGTGTGTCAGTGTATCTATATCTGTCTCTGTAAGATGTGTCTTTCTGTGTGTCTGTGTATCTATATCTGTCTCTGTATGTGTCTTTCTGTGTGTCTGTGTATCTATATATATATGTAAGTGTCTCTGTAAGGTGTGTCTTTCTGTGTGTCTGTGTATCTATATCTGTCTCTGTAAGGTGTGTCTTTCTGTGTGTCTGTGTATATATAGTTATAAGTGTCTCTGTAAGATGTGTCTTTCTGTGTATCTGTGTATCTATATCTGTCTCTGTAAGGTGTGTCTTTCTGTGTATCTGTGTATCTATATCTGTCTCTGTAAGATGTGTCTTTCTGTGTATCTGTGTATCTATATAGTTATATGTAAGTGTCTCTGTAAGATGTGTCTTTCTGTGTATCTGTGTATCTATATAGTTATGTGTAAGTGTCTCTGTAAGATGTGTCTTTCTGTGTATCTGTGTATCTATATAGTTATATGTAAGTGTCTCTGTAAGATGTGTCTTTCTGTGTATCTGTGTATCTATATAGTTATATGTAAGTGTCTCTGTAAGATGTGTCTTTATGTGTATCTGTGTATCTATATAGTTATATGTAAGTGTCTCTGTAAGGCATGTCTTTCTGTGTATCTGTGTATCTATATCTGTCTCTGTAAGGTGTGTCTTTCTGTGTATCTGTGTATCTATATCTGTCTCTGTAAGGTGTGTATTTCTGTGTGTCAGTGTATCTATATCTGTTTCTGTAAGATGTTTCTTTCTGTGTATCTGTGTATCTATATAGTTATGTGTAAGTGTCTCTGTAAGATGTGTCTTTCTGTGTATCTGTGTATCTATATCTGTCTCTGTAAGGTATGTCTTTCTGTGTGTCTGTGTATCTATATAGTTATGTGTAAGTGTCTCTGTAAGATGTGTCTTTCTGTGTATCTGTGTATCTATATAGTTATATGTAAGTATCTCTGTAAGGTGTGTCTTTCTGTGTATCTGTGTATCTATATCTGTCTCTGTAAGATGTGTCTTTCTGTGTATCTGTGTATCTATATAGTTATATGTAAGTGTCTCTGTAAGGTGTGTCTTTCTGTGTATCTGTGTATCTATATAGTTATATGTAAGTGTCTCTGTAAGATGTGTCTTTCTGTGTATCTGTGTATCTATATCTGTCTCTGTAAGATGTGTCTTTCTGTGTATCTGTGTATCTATATAGTTATATGTAAGTATCTCTGTAAGGTGTGTCTTTCTGTGTATCTGTGTATCTATATCTGTCCCTGTAAGATGTGTATTTCTGTGTGTCTGTGTATCTATATCTGTCTCTGTAAGGTGTGTCTTTCTGTGTGTCTGTGTATCTATATCTGTCTCTGTAAGGTGTGTCTTTCTGTGTGTCTGTGTATCTATATCTGTCTCTGTAAGATGTGTCTTTCTGTGTGTCAGTGTATCTATATCTGTCTCTGTAAGGTGTGTCTTTCTGTGTGTCTGTGTATCTATATCTGTCTCTGTAAGATGTGTCTTTCTGTGTATCTGTGTATCTATATAGTTATATGTAAGTGTCTCTGTAAGGTATGTCTTTCTGTGTATCTGTGTATCTATATCTGTCTCTGTAAGATGTGTCTTTCTGTGTGTCTGTGTATCTATATAGTTATATGTAAGTGTCTCTGTAAGGTGTGTCTTTCTGTGTGTCTGTGTATCTATATCTGTCTCTGTAAGGTGTGTCTTTCTGTGTGTCTGTGTATCTATATCTGTCTCTGTAAGGTGTGTCTTTCTGTGTGTCTGTGTATCTATATCTGTCTCTGTAAGGCATGTCTTTCTGTGTATCTGTGTATCTATATCTGTCTCTGTAAGATGTGTATTTCTGTGTGTCTGTGTATCTATATAGTTATATGTAAGTGTCTCTGTAAGATGTGTCTTTCTGTGTATCTGTGTATCTATATAGTTATATGTAAGTGTCTCTGTAAGATGTGTCTTTCTGTGTATCTGTGTATCTATATAGTTATATGTAAGTGTCTCTGTAAGATGTGTCTTTCTGTGTATCTGTGTATCTATATCTGTCTCTGTAAGGTGTGTCTTTCTGTGTATCTGTGTATCTATATCTGTCTCTGTAAGGTGTGTCTTTCTGTGTGTCTGTGTATCTATATAGTTATATGTAAGTGTCTCTGTAAGATGTGTCTTTCTGTGTATCTGTGTATCTATATCTGTCTCTGTAAGGTGTGTCTTTCTGTGTATCTGTGTATCTATATCTGTCTCTGTAAGGTGTGTCTTTCTGTGTGTCTGTGTATCTATATAGTTATATGTAAGTGTCTCTGTAAGGTGTGTCTTTCTGTGTGTGTAAAAACAAGAACAAGGAAATAGTAACAACAACAATTAGAAGCTATTTTATTCCATTACAATACATATAGGTACTTAATTACAATGACTGATAGAATTGTTGAAGTGCTAAACAGATTGCATGTTCTCTGATAAAGATGGTTCTATTCTGTATTCCTAGACTAAAACATTTAGATGTATAAATTCATTTTATACGGATGTTTTTTTTTCAGTCATCAATATTGGAGAACCGAATACATACCTCATACATATTTACTCTGAAACTGTATATGTATCTTGATCATCGTTTGATCCCTTGTAGTTGTACGATGACAAGGTGTAGTAAAACACGGCTAATTATTATACTAGCTTTGAAGGTAAATTTTAGTATGTCATTTATCAACGTATGCATACAAAGCGCGAGGAAATCTTTGTCAAGCTAATGACAAAAACAATATTGATAGATATATATAGATATTTATTTTACAACAATTGTGAAGCAAGTTTTTCCAACTTAAGTCAATTACTCTTGTTGGGCCGGATTGAAGGTGCGAGGGGCCTTAGTGTGGGAGAAAACCAAGGTGACCACCATATCTCTCCGGGAACCGAAACCTTTACGTTTAGGTAAAAGGCGAGTGCGTTACCATTGCACCGCCCGCCCAACCACTTAATCGAAATGAAAGTGACAAGAGAGCGGATGAACTAAAAACCACAAATATTTTATTTCTCTTTTTGAAAGCATCGGATCATTGTTGCATAACTCTTGTCGGATTTTTTCCGAATCAATATCCGGATGAACGGTTTCATTTAACAAGCCCCAATTGTTCCGGAACTCAGACTAAATCGCCATCGTCATTTATCTTTATAACGACAAGGAATGGTGTATTGGACACGAATCTTAGCGATGTGAACCGAATAAATACATATTATAATGATATAGTATTTATTCTGAGAATATGAAGACTAACCTAATTTAAATGAACACCACGTGTCAATACATGCTTAACGTCTATAGTTAATCAACCTCTATTTTCATTTGATTGTCTCTATAAAGGAGTTCATTTTTCTT